TGCCTAAACACAACACCTGGGTGCTACAAACAGTGGATGCGCGGATTCTGGAGGGGGGGGGTAGCATATATATATATATATATGTATGTATGTATGTATGTATGTATGTATGTATGTATGTATATATATATAGATAGTTATACCGCCCAGACCTTGTTCCTTTAGTTCAGGCCCATTTGTGAAAGCAGCTAGGCCTTACAAGAACCTATTTCTAAGCTGCAGAATCATGCGAGGAGACTGGATAGACTACTGGACCTTTGGACACGCTGCGTGCAGCTATGGCTACTGGCACCCCGGCCACGAACCTCTCGCCCTAAACTTAAGCCCAAAGACCTTAGGTGCTGCTTTGTGTAGGGCTCGAGGTCTAGGGAAGTGTGGTTCTATCCGTAACACGTGTACATCTTCGCTTCAAGGAATGTTAGTATTAGCATTGGTTTTTACTCCTTCCTAGTTTCGATAAACCCTACACCCTAAACCCCTAAACCCTAAACCCTAAACCCGAAACCCTAAACCCTAAAGAGGAATCGTGCTTCAAGATTTCTGCGTAACCTACGCCTCCCAGGTTTCTGGAATTCAAGCAGAAGGTTTAGGGTTTAGGGGTTTAGCGTTCAGCCGTTTAGGGTGTGTGTGGGTGTGTTTGGCGTTTAGGGTTTAGGAGTTCAGGGTTTAAGGGTTTAGGGGTTTAGGGTTTAGGGTGGTTTAGGGTGTAGGGGTGCAGGGTTTAGGGTGTAGGGTTTAGGGGTTTAAGGTGTAGGGTTTAGGGGTTTAGGTCGTAGGGTGTAGGGTTTATTGTGTAGGGGTTTAGGGTTCAGGATTTAGGGGTTTAGAGTTTAGGGGTTTAGAGTTTAGGGGTTTAGGGTTTACGGTTTTGGGGCAGCAGAGCCTCTACTAAATGAGATGGACTTCGAGCCAGCCCACAGACACAGAGAGGTAGACAATCTACAAAGAACGCCCAAAACTTCTATGTCAATGGTTTCCCTACGAATCACAAGAAGTAGGTTATGGTCCATGGTAGTTTAAGCACATGGGATAACTGCGCCTACTTTTTTGCCTTGCTACTGCCACTGCTGGGGCTGGGGGGCTGGGGGTGGGAGGGGGGGAGGATAATAACGTTCTTTGTTTGACGGGATTCATGCTTCCTTGGCATGAATACTATCGTATCATACCGTATCAGCATAGCATGTGATTCTTACCCATCACCACATTAATTCCTCATGCACAGCACTAGTTAAATCCTTGTGAAAGCATAGGCAAATTCTTATTGGTTGACATCGATTCTTCCATAATCCTGCCCAAAACCGCATCGGATCAACTTCGTCAGATGTGCCTATCGCAGCTTTTTGCATCGGATGAACTTGCTCAGATGAGAATTACTCATCCCAGAGGACTAGACAGTAAGCGTATTTGCAGTCTTAGACCATGTCATGTGAGGACATGTCACACATGATGTATCTTGTGTTGCTATCCTGTAGCATGTCCTTTTCTGTTTTCTTACACCCATTCCCTATCAAATTCTTTTCTTTTACATCATGTCATGTCACACGACGACTTTTCCAGTACATCCTCAGTCCCATGTTGAACCCTGTTTCGCGTGACAGGCGTGGTACTTTGTGTATGTTTCCTACTGATACTTGCACTTTACTACATACCGCATCCAAGCCTCCAAAGGCCGAAACAGCGACTAGCGTTGCCAAAACTCGAGTTTTAAGCACTTCCCAACTGTAAAAAGGAAAAAAACATAGGGTTAACAAATACAACCCGAAGCTTGTTTCGTGTGGCAGGCGCGGTAGATTCCAACTTAGTGCGTCTTTCCAAAGGCGCAATAATCCCCCCATGGGGTACTTTAAGGTAGGGGGCCTGAATAGCCACTGATGGTCTTCCTCCGGGCTCCTACGTATTGATCATAAAGTCTGGTGTGCCTAGAAACTGTTCCAGTTTTTCAGGTAGCCTATACTAGTAAGCACGCCCGCTGACCAGGTGCATCGGGGTCTTTTCGTGCCATGAACGCCATAAACCCTCCACTCACAATCCCTAAACTATAAGCTCACAAGCCCTTGGGCTCTAAACCAGGACAGCCTGTGCAACATACAGCGACGTGCTGGAAGTAGCAAGCCCTCGTCCCGGCCACTCCCCAAATGGAGGGTTTAGGGTGTAGGATTTAGGGTTTAGGGTTTAGGGTTTAGGGTTTAGGGTTTAGGGTTGAGGGTTTAGGGTTTAGGATTCTTTGTTAATACAGGGGTCGGAATAAAATACAAATACTGGTCCCTTAGAGTCCCTACTACAATGTACCCCTTGCTGCTGTTGACCCCACTCGTGCTGCTGATAAATGCATTCAATAAACGGGTGGTTTGAAATTCCTAACAACCAACGTCCCAGTACGTGCCTGTGTATACTCTAGTATCTCTCAAGATCTGCTGTAGGCTTGCCGTAGGCAGTAGGAACGTGAGCATGTTATGCACAGATCCTGCATGCTCGCCGCTTGTCGCAGATCTTTCTCTCGAGGCAGCAGAGGTTGCCACTTGAGACCCTGGTGTTGGCCAGGGTCGTGCCATGGCCCGCAAGGATGGAGGACCTCCTCCGATTCCCCTTCTTTACCAGGGGTCTCGGCTGGGGGATCAGGAGTTCGCTGACGCTTTTTCCAATCTGCGGGAGTACATTGTCCTAGAAGCTTTGGATGATGAGAGCCAGCCTCTAGGCTACGCTGTCGGTAGGGTAATCAACACTTACCCCCTCGATTCCAATGGTGCCTACATAGAGATCGAATACTTGGGGGCCGAGAACGAGTTCTACCGATGGTACATCGATAACGTGGATAAGCCGGGTGGGCTCCCGAGTGATTTTGCACACCACCTTTGCCGCAAGGCCGTCTCTACCTGCATTCGCAAGGAAGGCCGGAGGACAATACATGTGCAAAAGTGGGGGCCCATCGACCAGCGGGGTGCTGATAGGTTGCTTCGTGCCTGGGGCTACCCAGGGTTCGTGGAATCAAGTCGGGCAGCTGGTCGCAAGAAGCGTTCTGCGGTGGAAGCCCATCCCAGCACCTCTGGGAAGAGCAAAGCTCAAAAGCCCGGGGCTTATCTTGTGGATGAGCTTGAGCTTTCTTCGGTGGAGCACATGGAGGAGGACACGGGCGCGCCGGCTGCAAAGGAGCATCGTCGTGGACAGGGGCCCCGCCGCGACGCCACGGAGCAAGCCGCTCGGGCCGGGAATGTCCTGGATGGTCTCTTGGCTGAGGGGGTCAAGGCAGGGCGCTCTGGAACGGGGGCTGGCCCCAGCCAGCCGGAGGAGCTCTCACCGTTGGAGGCAAAGCTGGGGGTTCTTCGCGAAAAGCTCAAGGAGAAGACCAGCCCCAGAAAGGGCACGGCCGCGGCAGCATTGGCGGACAAGGCCCAAGCAGCTGCGGCTTTGCCACGGAAGAAGAGGCGAAAGTCTGAGGCCGTCGACGTGGTGAAGGGCCTTAGCAGGGTGCTGAAGGAGAAGGCTCGAGGCTCCCGGGACCCGGCCGAGGAGGAGAGCGACAGCGATGACATGGCCGATGACGACGCGGACTTCGAGGAGGGAGGTGGTGGCCTCTCCTCGAAACGGCGGCAACTCAAGAAGCTTGCTGCTGAGAGGCCCGGCTTCCTCCTTAGCAAGGGGCTTGCCAACATGAAGGAGCAGCTCGGTTCCCTCTACGGCGAGGACGGGGGCACAGAGGATCCTTTGTCACCGGTGGTCAACAGGTACCTGCTTTCAGTGATTCATCCCAACTACCCTCCTAAGGGGCAGCCAGAGGAGATGGTGCGCGAGATGAGGACCCTTGCTTTGAGCCTTGATCTTGTTTTGCGTGGTCGCGTTGATGCAGCGGGGGATTTGATGATGCAACGGTTCAAGTCTTGCTGCATGCACTTGAGGGATGGCAAGGGTCACTTTGGTCACTTTCTGGAGCTGCTCCCTGATGATCTCCTTGGGGGTGGGGCCACCATGGGCGAGACCGAGTTCGCGAGATCGATGGCGGTTCGCACGGCGAAGGCCGATGCCCTCCTTTCGAAGGTGGCCGTCCCCTAAAAACTCCGGGGGGGCAAGGAGACTGGCTCGTCTCCTGCCCCGCCCGACACTGCAATGAGAGCCGCGACGCCGCCGAGGAGGCCCGACACTTCAACGAGAGCCGCAACGCCGCCGAGGAGGCCAAAGTCACCGAGCAAGAGCCCAGTTCGTCCTCCAGCCATCCGGGCGCCTTTGTCGAGGAAGCGGCCAGACAGTGCCGGTGGTGGCCGGCGAGTGACGTTCGAGACCGAGCCGGAGAGGGAGGCCGCGAAGGACCCGGGCCCGATTGCGTTGGCAAGGCAGAGGACACCTCGGCAGGAGGGCGAGAGCAGGACCCAATGGAAGAATCGCGTTTTCGATCGGCTGAGGCGAGAGGCCTCAGCCGAGTAGCTCTGGAAGAGCTTTTTGAGACATTGTTGGTGGG